CGCGGTTCGAGTCGTGCCCCTGGTGTCGTGCTCTCCCTCTCTTTCTCTCTCTCTCTCTCTCTCTCTGTCTCCCTCTGGTCATATTTTAAAAAATGAATGAATAAATAAAATAAAATAATTCTTTAAAAAAAAAAAAACAGCTGTGCGAGGACCGGCAGATGGCATAATGGTTAAGTCATTAGACTCCTACATAGTCGATTATGGTTCAAGTCTTGGACCCAGCGGCCTAAAACTCACACCAAGTACATGTACGTGTGTGTCCCAAATCCAGAGAGAAAAATGGAGGAGAAGAGATTGTGGCATGGCCATCCACCCTAGGGGGTGATTTCTTGCTTTCTGTCTCTCTGTCTCTCTGGTGAGTGCACATGCCCTATGGCGAAAAATCTCTCTCTAAATAAATGAAAGAAACAACTGTGTGGGGCCAGCAGGTGGCTCTGTGGTTAAGATGTTGGATTCCCACATGGCTGACCACAGTTTGAGTCCTGGATCTGGTGGCTTGCTCTCTCTCTGGTGAGCTTTAAAAATAATCATAAATAAAATTAAATCAATACATGATTAAAAAAGAAACAGCTGTGCATGAATTTTTAAACTTTTGCACTAAAATAAACTTGAAATATAATTCCATTTCTCCAGAAACATTCTGAGTCCCTTTGCATTTTAGAAGCAAGCATAGGCTTCTGCCCCTGGGAATTAAATGCTAGTCACGTTTCTATTTGTTCTCTCCTGGAGGATTTTTATCCAGGCCCTACTCAGAGTAGGCTGCACCTGCTGGTCTTTCACTGTCTTCTGCCAGGACTTGTACAGTAGACTCCTGACTCTTGACTCTAGGTCCTCCCACCAGCCAAGCTGACCAGGTGATTCCCTTGCTCCATACCCTTCTGTGGCCTTCCTCGTCACAGGGCAAAGTCCAATATCTTGGCCTGGCAACTTCAGGGTCCTACCCTACCCACCTCCTGAGCCTGCTAAGTAACTACTCTCACCTCTAGGGACTTTGAGGAACAACTCTGAACTCCTGGGCATTTCCTCAGGCCCATGCTTCCTATAGCTGCATTCATACAGTCATTCATACAGCTGTTTGCTTGAACCGACCACTTGTCCTACTTCGCGTCAAATTGGGCAAAGGCCCACAAAATTCCTCTTGTTTCCTAGCTGACACCTTCTCCTTGTTTGTACACTTGGAACAAGCTCCTTCCATGTCTGATATAATCCTCCCTACCTGTCAATCAAGGCCTTTCTCCATCTCCCCTACAGGCCCACGGCAGCTCTTAGCTCCCTCCCTGGCCCTGAGATTCCTCAGGGCAGGGCCAGCAAAAGTTGGATACCTGGGTCCAGGGCTTGGGTGAGACATTATGAATGACCAGGCTGCCAGCGCAAGCTTTCTAAACCTAAACGTGAATATGAATTACTTGGGGGATTTCCAAGTTAAAAAGCAGATTCTGATACAGTCAGCCAGTCTAGGGTGAGGATTGAGAGTCTGTGGTCCTAGCAGGCTCCCAGGTGTGGTCAATGCTGCTGGGTGAGGGACTACTTTACTTAGTAAGGGCCTTGCTGGCTGGGAAGAGGGGCAGGTGCGACCCAGGTGGGCGTGGCCGTCATCCCAGGGGTATAAGACGGCTGAGTGTGGGCTGCCTGCTACTCTGCAGGAGTAGCTCTGCGGGTACCATGGAGCCGAGCTACGGGCTCTTCGTCTGTTTTCTGCTCTGGAGCAGCTCAGAGCTGTGCTACCCCCAGCCCCTCTGGTTCTCGCAGGGTGGAACGCGCCTCCCTGTGCCTTCCGAGCAGCCCGTGATTGTGGAGTGTCGGGAGTCCCAACTGGTGGTCACTGTCAGCAGAGACCTTTTTGGCACCGGGAAGCTCATCAGGTCTGCTGACCTCACTCTGGGCCCTGAGGGCTGTGAGCCCCTGGTCTCCATGGACACAGATGACACAGTCAGGTTTGAGGTTGGGCTGCACGAGTGTGGCAACGGTGTGCAGGTGAGGCTTGGGAGATCCCTGGCTTTGGGCCAGTGATGGGAGCATGGCTGCAGAGCCAGTGAGAGGTGGGGCTTTCCTTGTGGGTGGAGGGAAAGGTCAAGCAGCTGAGGCCTGATGTTGGGGGTTAGCATGTGACGTGAGGGAGGCTGACCAAATTGAGAAGGAAAGGTGGGGTACAGAGGTGGCAGTGAATTTAGGGGCAAGATCAGGCACCCCATCGTCTGATTTCTGAGGGTTTATGACATGCCCCTCAGGAATACAGAAGCAATGGGGCTAACATGGGGACACATATGATGACTTTGGGGGTATTCCTAGCCTCTGGGCATTAGAAAATTGTAAGAGATACTTGAACACTTCAGGAAGCTCAGAAGTAATCACTAGAAAAAGCCCCCCAAATTTTTGCCTCTTTCTTTTTTTTTTTTTTTTTAAATCAGAGGATGCGTGTACAGAGAAAACAGTTCCCAGCAGGGCATGGTCACACCACAATCCTTCACTTCTATTCTTCCATCCTGTTGGAATTTGGGGGACACACACGGAGTGTTTTTCAAGCCACCAGGACCAGGATTAAAACCGTGGTCAGCCACGTAGGATCCAGTTCCCTAGACAGAGCTCAACATCTGTGCTCCAGGGTTATCACCCTCATATTCAGTGACTCAACCCTTCGAACCAGAAGTGGTATGGGGGGCATCATGATAACCTTGGTGTTAAGGGCCTTAGAGGCTCCCATTAAGTCCCTGGGGCAGCTCCAAGTGGGTGGGGCTTAACACAGGAGGAGACCTGGCTAATCTGGGCCAGAGCTCTCTCTAGTCCTTGGGGAAACTGATACTCAGAGCCTTCCATCAGGGCAGGGCTGGGTGCACAGCTCCCCAGCTGGTCCCCTATACCCTGGGGCCAAGTCCCTAGTGCCCTGTGAAGGAGCTGTCGTCCTACTCATTATGGGCTCTGGCTCCTGCCTGCCTGGTCCTGGACACCTTAGCCTAGCTAGGGCGAGGGCAAGCGCAGCCCTGCGGCCCTGCAGCAGGAACTCTGGTTTTCAGTATGGTTCCCAGCACTGGTTTGGAGTACTCAGAGCCCTTGTTTGTCTGCTGAGGGAGGCTAGAGCTGCAGGAGTCACTTGAATTATTTCTGGCTTAGTGACTCCCAAACTTCGTGTACCAGAACCACCTGTGGAGCTTTTGTGCTTTTCCTTTAGTGTGGTGTTTTTTTTTGTTTTTGTTTTTGTTTTTTTTTTTGCCACAGGGCATGTGGCCTCACCAGAGAGACAGAAAGCGAGAAAACACCCCCAGGTGGTATGGCCATACCCCCCAATCCCTCTCCTTCATTCTCCTCTTGAGATTCTGTGCATGCATGCACACACTCATATGCTCAGCATGCTTTTCAGGCCACTGGGTCTGGGACTCAAACTGCGGTTGGCCAGTTTGTGGGAATCCGGTACCTCAACTACCATGCCCCCTGCCACTACCACCTGGGGACTTTTAAAAATCCCAATGCCTGAGCCGTACCGCATACTAACCTACAATGAAAGTCTTTGAGTTTGCGTGGATGTCGTTGAGCATCCCAGCTGACTCCAGTGCAGAGCGAAGTCGTGACTCCTTTCTCGGGGGCAGCATTTCCCAGTCTTGCCTGATAAGAATCACCTGGGCCAGGGCTGACTTGGCAGGTATACTGCCTGCGCAGTCCTGCAGGGCTGTGAGCCCAATGCAGTGCTCTGCTGCCCCCAATCCTCACGGACTTTGAGCAAGGGACTCCACAAATGACATCGCTGCTCCTGTGTGGGGCCTGGGCTCATAGAAAGCCAGGAATATCCGCTAGATAAGACTGAGTCACAGTGAGATCCCAGGTGGCCCCTCCTCCCTGCAGCCCTACTGGAAGATGCAAATTGCCCCAATAGCACCTGTGCTCGCCCTGCCTCAGGCAGTCACTGGTTTTCCCTTCTGTGAAATGGGCATGAGAATTGGTCGGAAGGGTTACGAATGTTAACTGCTGTGTAGTACATTAAGCTCCTGGTACTTTTTGGCTTCTCCCAGGCCACCTGAAAAAGGTGTGTGTGTGTGTGTGTGTGTGTAAAGAGGCACAGTGCTCACAAACTGATCCTCTGTCTAGCATCACTACTTGGTATGGACGTGTGGTCAATCCAGACCCCTCTGTCCAGAGGTGGGGATGCTGAGGTGCTTGGACAGTTCTTGTCCAGCCTCTGTCAGGTGGCACAGAGTAGGGTTTGAGTCCCAAGCCTGTACCCTCCTGCACCCTCACGTGGGGTGGCATACTCTAGGTGACCCCCCT